GCTTGAACTATGGCATAGATCCATGAATAAGTTCTGGGCTCACACTGAATCCTAGCTGCAACTTAAAAGCAATTAGTTCTTACATCATGGCCTGGCCCAATACTCACCTTCATGAAATGATCACCTAAGATAAGGGTGCTACAGCAAAGTGTGGCGGAGAAAGTAGATGGTGCCCAGCTATCAATCAGAATAGTGTCTGGGTCTTAAAGGCTTGTATTCAAACATGCAGCCATCTAAGGGAGGAGTCAACTAAGTGCACACATAAAAGGCACACCAGCTTGTGTGATCCAAAGATGTCAATCACAAAATTCTAATATGGTGAAGAAAAAAAGTATCAGAGCTAAAATTATGAACACCCAATTTGTAGAAGGCTATGGAGGACAGTGAGAGCCCAAAAACTTACCTGCAGAGTGTCTAGTCATTGAGTGGCTGGCAGATCCACTCTAGTCAAAGGCCAGAGTCTCAAACAGCCTGACTATCCGGCATTGTAATCTTGCTTATACTGGATTAAACTAGATACTTGGCCAGTTGACCTCACCATAGACGTGACCTGAATTTATTCTGGGTGCAAACATCTCTTAGATGTGCCATGACAGAAAGGTCTTCCCTGGCTTCTTGAATGTTTTCTCTCTCATGTATTATTTGTATTTTTGTCTTTATACTATTATAATCTTATCCTTACCACCTTAGTACAATTAGTTTTCCATTGTCTCTGTTATGTTTCCCAGCTGTGAAGCACAGGGGGAGTGGATGGATAATGATAATAACTGATAGAAGGGGTAATAGGGAATGCAGAGGTGGGGGGTGGGTGAGGCAGCAGGCGGGGGGGAGCACTAGAACTGATCTGTGGTTGCACAACAGATTTTAAAGGTTATTTAACCATAGGGGTGGTGGGGAGAGAAGCTCTAGGAGATGTGGGGCTGATCGTACAATTCCCCTTGGTAGGATGGAACAATTGAAATATTCAATTGTATGATACACAAATTTTATGCCAATACAAAGGTTGGAAATAAATGAATTTTGAAAAATTGGTTTTCTAACCCCAGGTCTTTGCAGATTTCATTATAGTGCTGTGTCTCCCTGAGCTACCTTTGTTCTCCTTAAATGATCCTTCGGGGTTGGGGGATCATAAGAAGTCTGAACAGGCAAGATCAGGTCTGTGGGGTGGGTGGAGTAAGGTTTCCCAATGGAATTCTTGTAAGA